ATTGAGCGGCAGTGATTAGACCACCCTGGGCCTTAGAGTCCTCTTATAAGTTGCTGAACTGCACAGAGGGAAGAAACGCCCACTAGTGAATGTGAGGTTGGGGGGAGGAGCTGGGAACCCTCAGCTCTCCAGAAGCTCTTAGGGGTCAAGAGATCAGGCATCCACCTGGAAAACCATTCTTCTGTATTGCAGAATCTTGGTTTGTTGAGCAAGTTTAGGTCTCTTATTTGCTGTGCTTCTCCTCTTGCTAAGCTTCTTTTCAGTTAACGTGGGGGCATGTATTTATGTGGTCCTGTGAAGAATTACCTACATAGAGCCTAATTCCACAGTGCAGGTTGGTTTGAGTTAAAACACTTTTTTAAAAAAATTTTTTAAAAAGATTTTATTTATTTATTTGACAGAGATCACAAGTAGGCAGAGAGAAGGGGCGAAGCAGGCTCCCCGCTGAGCAGAGAGCCCGATGCGGGGCTCGATGCGGGGCTCCATCCCAGGACTCTGGGATCATGACCTGAGCCGAAGGCAGAGGCTTTAACCCACTGAGCCACCCAGGCAGCCCCGAGTTAAAACACTTAGAGAGAACTTCCCTTTTCACCATCATCTGGCCATCCTCTGTCTTACAATATCTTTTCCTCCTGGCACCATACCTGTCAGTGTATTATGTAGTCATTCATTGTCTCATCTTCACTAGAACGGAAGCTCCATAAGGGCAGGAGTGGGGTTTTGTTTGCTGTAATCCCAGAGTGTTCTTGCCCAGCCATGTAGTAGATTCTGGTATTAGTTTCCTCGAGCTACCATAGCGAATTACCACAAACAGAATGGCCTGGAACAATGAATTTATTCTCTCATAGTGTAGGCGGCCAGAAGTCCAAAATCAAAGTGACAGCGAGTTCGTTCATTCTGGACACTGAAAACTGTTCCATGCCTCTCTCTTAGCTTCTGGTTGTGGTCATCGGTCCTTGGCTTGTCCTTGCTTGTCGAAGTAATCACTTCCATCTCACCACCATCCTCACATGATCTCCTTCTCTGTGTCTGTGTTCTTTTCTGTCTCTTACAAGGTTACTCAGGGTCCACCCTGAGTCAATGTAATCTCATTTTAACTAATTACATCTGCAAAGACCCTATTTCCAAATGAGGAAGGTGATAATCTCAGGTTGCAAAGGGACATGAAATTTTGGGGGTGGATGGGGGTAGTATTCAGCCCAGTACAATGCTCAATATTTGATGGATGAATGAATGAATTCGCAGTGTAGTTCTAGGCTGTAAACTCCTTGGGCATTTTTCATTACTTTCTTAATAATTGTGCTGCAGAATAGAGGTTAACAGGTCAGTCTGGTTCCAGACCACTTGGGCTCCAATTCTGGTTCTGCCACTTCCTAGCTGTGAAATCTTGGGCAATTAGGGAACTTCTATGAGCCCTCAGTTTCCTCTTGTAAAATAGTGACAATAAACGTTAGCTATTATTTTGTGTCTGCAACTATTTTTTTTTAAAGATTTTATTTATTTGACACACGGAGAGAGAAATCACAAGTAGGCAGAGAGAGAGGGAAGCAGGCTCTCCGCTGAGCAGAGAGCCCGATATGGAACTCGATCCCAGGACCCTGAGATCATGACCTGAGCTGAAGGCAGAGGCTTAACCCACTGAGCCACCCAGGTACCCTGTGTCTGCAACTATTTTAAAGCACATTACGTTTTAAAAACTCTTACATAGCCGACATATTCTCATTTTACAACAGAGGAAACTACATTTGTTTCAAGAATTAAAAACTGAGAAAATAGGTAAGTCACTTTGTGAAGTACTTAGCACATAGTGCTTAGAAAATCTTAGCTATAATAATAAATGTGACTTAATCTCATAACTTTAAGAGCTCTGTTACAAACTGATTCATAAATCAGAGAAAAAGAAATCTGTTGTGAACTAGTTTTTGCCCATGCAGTCACTGTCATTGAGGGGACACTCTCCCTAGGATAGACCAGGCAGAATGCTGGCCAAAGGTAGGAGCATTTGGACAAATTGCGGTAAGGGACCCTGGTTGAGGGGAGGGGGGGAACAACACTAGGTGTGCAAGGACACTAAAAATTCCTTTGGAACTTTCACTGGGCCAATTCTTACTAACTTCATCCCAAATGGTTGCTGTGGTGTATTAGGAGGGGATTGATGTCATGGTAATATATTCAGCAAATAGAATGTCTACACAGGCTACTTTTAATATATACAGCATATTTCAGTGTGCAGATAGGGGTATGTTTTTTCCTTCTTTTAAACTAAAAAAGCTTTCTCCTCCCTGCAATAGGTAAACTTCCAGTTTGCCTGTTTCTTGCTCTTAATATCTTTAAAAAGTCAGCATGCTTAGACCTCAGCTAGAAAGGTTACGTTCTAAATTCTGTAAAGCCAGTCCCACATTTTTAAGTATCTTTCCATGGCTTATAGATGTTTACATTGGTTTAGTAGTGTATTTATTTCACTAGACTGAAAGTTCTGGGAGGGCAGGAACTCTTATTTTGTCCATGTGGCAGCTAGCAGATCCAAAACGAGTTATTAGTTGAAGGAATAACTAAATATGTTGTCGGGTAGCATCTCTGTCTTAGCCACTGCTTGCCTATTATCATCCTGGGATGCTGGCTGCTTCTTTAAAATAATCTCTTTCTTGTTCTCAAATTGCCTTCATTTGTAGTACTAAGCACTAAATAGGCCTGTAAATATGTGACCAAAGTTTGATCTGTAAAATCACCCTTTCCAGAGGTATATTCACTACCTTTAAGTTGACTTTTCCACAGATCTCTTCAAGGTTTGTATTTTTTTCTTTAAAATTATCTAATTAGTTGGATACCAGGCTAGACAATAAAAATTTCAGAAGGCTAGACATGTTTCTTGTGAAATTAAAGTATTTTAGGAAGCTAACCGATGGTTGTCACTTTAAGCTGAAAAGTAAATGTGGCAAACTTTTAAAATGGAATAATTCAAATAGGTCTTCGAAGATTACTGTGGGCCCTCTACATAGTCAGAGTATGAGACTTTTCACATTTTTATGATTTCTTACATTATAAACCTTTGTTACAAAGTAAGTAAAAATAGATGTTTACTCTTAAGCTAACAATACTTAAAAGTATTCACTCTGGCCCAATGGTAACGAGAACTAGTTGGGTTTTTTGTTTGTTTGTTTTGCTGGAAAGATGTTTAAGGAATTCTTATTTTATACCAGCAATATAAGCAGCTTTAGTTCCCAGAACATAGTATAGTGGTGGGAAAGGGACACTTGTCTACCTGCACTGGCCATCCCAAATCCACTGATGGAGACACTTTCATTTCACAGTTCCTGTAGCACCTCCACCAGAGGGCAGAAAGTGGAAGAGAAAGGAGGTGAAAGAAATTCATACTTGTCTTCAGAATGCCTGTAGAAACACCGGGGACTGAATCCCATCCTGCTTTTGCAAACTGAGTCAACTGTGGCTCAGAGCTGCTCGAGATAGACCCGGCCGAAGAATCCACTGGGCTCTCCGTTTTCAGGCCGGTGTCCCTGCACTGATGAGGACTGATGAGGCAGTATTTTTGTAATAACCCAGTCCTGCAATTACTCTACTTCTGGTCATCCCAGCTCAGCACTTGGCTAGCTTAGGCTGGCTACTTTGGCTCCCTAAGTCTTTCTCATCCCTAAAGTAAACAATAATAGTACCTCAGAAAGTGGTTGATAGAACTAAAAGAGGGAATGCATGTACGGTGCTCAGCACAAAGCTTGGCTCAGATACTAAGAGCTTAAATTTTGTGAATTATGATAAACTTGTCAGATGCTGGATTTCAAGTCCAATGTCTGGAACACTATTGTACTATACACATGCAATATTTCTTCACTTTTTCATTTCAGAAGCAAAATACTGATTTCCCCCCAATTTTACAGATGTATCCTCCCCCCAACCCAGCAATAATATTCAAGGAACAGGTGCCTGATGCATACTTTGTTGACTGTGCATGGCCCCCACCAGAAAAATGGGCATGGATTTATTCAGTGACCTCATGAGTCATCCTTGAAATTTCCATGAAGATCTTGACTGAAGTTGGATGAAAACTCATTTCTAAGAAAAATGCAATGTATTCTCCCGTCCCCTCCCCCCATACATTTGACGACTGTCTTGGGCTTCAAACCCTAAAGTAATCTTTGCCGTTGTAAATGCGTGCAGTGCCCTCCTTGACGCTGTCGGGAGAGCGGATGTTAGTGAATGACAGAAAAGGAATTGTTGGCCCCTCAGTTGCAGCCTGTGGACGCCTCCCTAGGAAATCGCCACCCAGGTTTATGGAAACAGCCTGAGGTTCTCCGGCATCGTGCAGCCTCAGCAAAGTCTCGGGCATCTTGCAAAAGCAGTTTCTTCACGTAACATGTAATAGAGGGCAAGTTTCTATTTGCCTAATGCAAATAATGCCGGCCTTCGAAACGTTAAATCTTTTTTGAGAAAACAAATTTGGCCTTTAATTGCCAGTGCCTGCAGTTATTATTATTATTATTATTATTATTATTATTATTATTTTACTTGGGTAGGCTCTGGCTAAAATAAAATGGTCTAGGGTGGGATAAGATTTGGGCGAGCCGAGAAGTAACTCTTTTGCTCCCAACTATTCTGTCTCCCATAGCCCAAACTTTCAAATCTCAGCCTTCCCTTGCTGCCCTCGCGGGGTGCTCCCCGGTGGGGTGGGGGAACCGGCAGTGCACTTGGCTTTCCCTCTGCCCCTGGAGAAGAACTTTAAATGCAAAGAGGTGGGGTTGCAGAGATCTGTCCTTAAGGCTCTGATGGGTGGGACCCAGAGACGGGAGGGAAGGGAGGGAGTGGTTCGCGGGTGGGATCTGTCGAGCAGACAAAATGTGGGGCCCCTGTCCCTTGAAGTTTAACTTGTCTCTTCCCTGAGTGAGGAGCAAGGCATCCCTAGTAGACTATCACCCCCAACCCCTGCAGGGGCACGAAGAGGAGAGAAGAGCCACCAGGATAAGAGTGGACAGAGGAAAAGGCGAGACATGTTCTCCAGGAAACAGCCCCCTGCCCTGGCTCGGGAAGAAAGCTACCGCCCAGCCCGGGCCCCGGAGCAGGTAAGACCCACCACCAAGCTCGCTTGCCCGCAAACAGGTCGGATGACCTCTCAGTCCGGGTGAATTCAAGGTCAACCCCTCCCTCCCCTACGCCCTCGTCCCTCCGTGCCACCTTCCTCCCCCGACGTCGGTGAGCTTCGGCTTCCCAGCCCGGCGCTGAGCTCCCTGCAACCAGTCCTCGGGCGCATGATGCTCCAGGGGTCTCTGAGCGTCCGCGACTCTAGCAGGGTCATGGGCAGAGTTTCCTTCAGCGTCAGAGCTGGGTCGGTCCGGAGACCCCGCTCTCCTCGGCAGGGGCGTCGCCACGTCTGCTACAGAGTCCCTCCTCGGCCGGGCGCCCTGCACGCAGTGAGTGGACTGGGGGACGCGCGGGCGCCCGGGGAGGCTGCCGCGGGAGCCTTCGCGACCAGCCCCTCGGGGGTCCCCCGCTTCTCCGCTGAGCCAGCGTCGCGGACGCGCGACCTGTGCGAGCACTGCGCAGCAGCCCGGCAGGCCCCAGACGTAAGCGCCCCCAGCCCGCTTTCCAGCTGCGCGCGTCTCGGTCTCCGTCCGTCTCACAGCCCGGACTCGCGCTCGCTTCCCCGGTGCCGAGCTGGGACCTGGAGCTCACTGCCCATTCTGAGCATTGGGCACCCATAACCGGTCCCGCTCGCAGCGTGCCAGGAACTCCCGCGCCCCCAGAGCGCAAACTTTGTCTCTGGCGCAAATCAGCCAGGGCACCCCGGGCGCCAGCCTCCGAGGGGCGCAGGTTCAGAGCTGCGCCGGGTTTGGCGGCCCCGATCGTGTCCTGGAAAGGGAACGCGCTGCCCCTAGCTCGGGAGAGGAAAGGTAGGGAAGAGCATCGCGGACGGTCCTCACCGGCCTGAGTCCCAGGAATAGGGTCTGATTTGCGACTGCGCTGCTTTTGCGGTGACAGAAGGGTCCCGGCGACCGCTCACGGCCGCTCGGTTCGGCCTGCACGGAGTCCCTCTCTGCGGCGGGCACTCTGAGGGCTGAGCGGGCAAGAGGAAGGTGGTGTCGCGTCGGATCCTGTGGGGACTCTTCCCCTGCTCCCGTGGCGGGCGCCCGTCTCCTAGTGCCACCGGCTCGGGGCGGGTGGATGGCGGTGCAGGCGCTTTTAGCGCTGCTGGTCATTGCCAGCCTGAGCCCCGGGCGCTGCGAGCTCATCAGGACAGCGGCGGGCTAGGCATTCCCAGGGAAGCTGTCCTCGCAGTTCAGAAAGTGGGGCTTTCCTCCTGCGGGAAGCCTCTAAGAACAATGCACGAAGCCTCATTCTTGTAAAAGGCTAAGGCGGCTTCTATACGCATTGTAGTTTGTAGGGGTTTTTTGTTTTTGTTTTGTAAAGTAATTTACTGATGGAAACAAAACTGCAAAGGAATGTCTGACTACTAACAGAAGGGGAGCCAAGTCAGGATCGTTGTCCAACAACACACGTTTTAGCTGAAGGTGTTGAAATTAAAGATGCTGCAAAACATTAGTTTTTGGCACATCCTGGAGAGAATGTGAAGAAACACTGCATTTTTTTAAAGTCATAAAATCAATTTTTTGTTAGTCACAATACATTCACCTGCCTTTCTGTGCTATTTGGTCCCCAGTAGTTTTGTTTGTGATATGCTAAAAATTAGTCCCCAAACCAGATTCCTGGGGATTGACAGGTTAAACTAAAGATCTGTGTAGACATGTATGAGAGTGGGGCAGAGCAGCCAGGTTTTCCATAAAATCCTTACCAGGACACCGGGAGTTGCACTATGATGAACTATTCTCAGAGTTATTTGGGTGGGAAATCTCATAAATCCCAAAACCCCAAGATGCTGCAAAGCTTTATTTAAGAGAAGGGGCATCTTCCCAGAAAGTTCCTTGCAGGATAGGCTTACAACTACGATGATGAAAACCTCTATTAATCTTCCAGGAGGTTAAATTAAGAGACAAATAATAATTGCCTCATTCATCTCATGGAGTGTATTTCCAGGCATAGTGAAACTTTTTTTTTTAAAGAAGATGCATAATTAACTCCATCAGAAACCTTCCTCTTAATGCTGCAGTAATCTTAATAGTATTAGTCTGGAAGGCATCAGTGCTTCTACCACACACACCAGCTGGGGTTTCATTTTGGAAAAACCACCTTTCCCACCAGGCCTTCATCTGGGTTTCAGAACTTGCTGGCTCTATTTTCCTTCAAGCCCCTCAGTTGCCCTTCGCCATTGTTGGGGGGCAGACAGGAAGGAGGTTGGGGGAGAAGCTGAGCAGCCTGTTATCTTCAGATAGTTAGCATTGTCACCCTCTAAAATCTGTATTTTCAGATCTCCGTACTTAGTGAGGTACTCGGTTACTCATTTTTCCTCTTTCCCTCACCTCTAGCCTCCCTTGACATAAAGACCTAAAGTCTTAGGGCTTTTGGGTTGCTGAGTGTCTTACTGCTGGGGAATGGGAGCTCTTTGAAGACCAGGAAAGTGGCAATACAGAATTTTCCTGAAGGGATCCAAGGGAGAAGGGTTTATTTCACGTGACACTGACCTTAATAAGTTATTTGACAAGCATGCGTCCATGTATCCTGTTTGTCCCATCAGGGTTTGGAAAATAGGGCTGGTTGGCTTGAGTACACTGACCTGTATGGAATACTAGATCCACAGGAAGCACTCAGGCAACCTCCAGACTATTCCATGAAATCTACTCAGACACACGCATGTGCACACAGACACACGTGCGTGCTTTTGTGTTTTAGACTGTTCAATGAGGGTAGCAAAGAAAGAAGTCGCAAGAATGAAAGATGCTGTTAGTTTGTGTGCCTTGGAGAGGAGAGTATGGAGTCTGGTATCTAAGCTAAATTCAAATCTCTGGCTGTAACCCTTAAAAGTGACAAGGCTCTGGGCAAGTCAGATGCTGCTGTTGAACCCTAATGTCCTTATCCAGCAAATGGGGAGAATATTTCTAACCATTTATAAGAATGCTGTGAGGATTAAGGAAATGAGTAAGTCCTAGAAATACTATCCATACTATTGGTCTCCCTAACCTATTGTTTTTTTTTTTAAAGATTTTGTTTATTTATTTGAGAGAGAGACAGTGAGAGAGAGTATGAGTGAGGAGAAGGTCAGAGAGAGAAGCAGACTCCCCGTGAAGTTGGGAGCCCAATGCGGGACTCGATCCCGGGACTCCAGGATCATGACCTGAGCCAAAGGCAGTCGTCCAACCAACTGAGCCACCCAGGCATCCCATAACCTATTGTTATTTACAGAACTGGTCTCATCTCAGACTCAATGAGTCTACGCCAGACTTCTCTCCACAGCCCTGCTTCTGTGAGTTTAAAGCTGTGCTCTCCAATTGAGCATTTGCTGGTCACACACTGTTACTTAAAATTAATGTCATTATTTGAATTCATCAAAATTAAATCCAATTAAAAATTCATTTCTGTTCTTCAGTCTCACTAGACACTTTGACCAATGATTACCATATTATGTCAATAGAACATTGTTTTCAAGGCAGAATGTCCTCTGGAACTTTCTTTTACTTGAGTGATAATTTAATGAGGCTCTTGGATGATACAGGTTTTCTGTCCGGTGCCTCCTTTTGCCTCTTTTCTTCCCAAGGAGTGGTTTTGTACTGCTAAGTCACTTCTGTTTTGCTGGCATTTCTCACACTGCTGGGGCATTCGTTGAATGGTAAATGACTAGATCCCTTTATAAATCAGTCAACGAGTGTGAATTAGCCACGGAGTCCTTGGGCGTTCTCCCCTCAGCCTTGATGATTTTTGCTAATGTATCATTCTTCTCCCTCACAATGAGCTTTATGGCTGATGGTTTTCCTAGTTTTAGAGCAGAAAGTCTAATCTAATAGAGGGAGGCTCCTCTTTGTCCCTTGTGCCCTGACGTGTTGATTTTTGACAAGAATGACCATACTGGAAGACTAGGTTTCTATGTTTGCATCAAATCCACTGAAAGTTCAATTTATTCAGATTTGAAACTAGCACCTCCGCCTTATTCTGTAGGACCCAGTCCTGAACCTATCACCATTTGACAGGCTATTTATTTTCCCTCTTTATGTTGATTGTTTTCTCTGTCCTCCTGCTCTCAGGGAGAAGCTTCTCATATTCCCTTCTCAGGGAATATCTTTTCAGGCAGAGATATTTCTGTGTTTTTGTTCATGGCTAGAAGAACGCTTGGTACATAGTTGGTACTTATTAATTATTTGTGAATGGATGACTGTGGCGTATTTAGAACTAGGTAGGATGGGTAGATGCTGTATTAGGTTCCAAGAGCTCTATAACAAATAACTACAAACTGCGTGGCTTAACACACCAGAAATTTATTCACTCAAGTCCAGAATCAAAATGTCAGCAGGGCCATGTCCCTTGAAGGTTCTATGGAAGAATCCGTCCTCCCTTCTTCCTAGCTTCTGGTGGTTGCTGGCAATGCTCGGCATTCCTTGGCTTGTAGCTCCGTCACTCCAGATTCTGCATTCCTAGTCCTTCCCTGCATTTCAGTTTTCTTTCCTCTTATTATAAGGACATCATATTTGGTTTAGGGCTAAATCTAATTCAGTATGACCTCACCCTAAATAAGCACAAAGGCAAGACCCTATTTCCAAAAAAAGGGTCACATTCTGAGATTCCAATGGACATGAGTTTCAGGAGACACGGTTCAAACCAGTACAGATGCAGATAAGTATCCTTTCCCTGTCTGGATTCCTAACCCCCTAGAGGCTGATTTTGTTTCTGGGACTTTGCTAAACCTGCTTTATGCCAAATATAGTTCACGATGTTGGTTATTCTTACAGACAAATAATCACGTGCAAGATGGGGAGATTAGGTCTGCTTCCCACGTGGGCAGGCGTGGAATACATGGGATGGGTCATCTCTGATTGCTGGAACCGCTGCCCCTTCCTGAACCTGTTGCTATTTCCAGCCCTGTCGCTAGCATCGACTTCTTTGTCTTTGCTCAAATAGAGCCACTGTTGTCCTAGAGCACTGGCTGGTCTGCCTCATCCCTGAGCATTCTGCAGCAGTG